GTATAAAACTAAAAAATAATATAAGTACTACACAACAATGAAATGTATTCTGTCATATAAGAAAACCTCTTTGTAAGTACAATATTTCCATGCACCGTTCACCGTTCTGATACAAGACTGTAGGAAGTTAAGAGTGTACCTTGGCAAGACGCCTTCAAGCTTTTGCACCCTTTCCCTGCAGAGGGGTCCAGGCCCAGCCAGGGAAGGCACCCTCTTATTGGACACTGCTTGCCTTGGTCCCTCTGCTAGAAAAGGGTTTTCGAGTTTTTCGAGTTTTATCTAAATTAGAGATTCACACCTATAAAGGTTCCCTTTGTCAGCGGCGGGCCGGGACCAGCCTGTTGCCTCCACCGAATGGCGCATTGCCCATGCATGCCCAATGTGTTAGTCGGTTCGACTCCTGCCCCGCCGCGTGTCTCTGATGCCGTGCCCCCCCCACCTTGCCCCAAACCCACAAAACAACTAGCCCAACACGCTTGGTGCTGCGGGACCCACAGAACCGACTGAAGTGCTACGCCATGAGATAGCACCGCGCCCCCGCAGTCCGCTCCCCACCACCTCATCGATCTATCAATCGACCGACCAGAGCAAGCAGAAATTTCTCTATAGTCGTCACCCCCTCTCTTTCTTTCTTTCTTTCTTTCTTTCTTTCTTTCTTTCTTTCTTTCTTTCTTTCTTTCTTTCTTTCTTTCTATCTATCTTTCTCTCTCTTCCTCCCTCCCTCCCGTCCTCCCCCCTCTCTCCCTCCCACTGTGTCTGAGTGTGTACCTGCCTCTGAGTACTTCCCCGGGCAATTTTGGCGTTTATACCCCGTTCTATGCAGTCGCTCTCTATGTGAGACAGAGAAATGTCCGCCCCCGCTGTGGTGCGAGGGCAGATCCGATTTAACTGCCCTCCCCACCCCCCTTTCTACATTCTCCCTCCCCACAGCTCGCGCCCCGTCTGGCAGGGCCGTTAAACGGCCATTTCACCTTGAGGATGGAGTAGATTCGGCCGGAGCAGCACTGCCCGCTTTCCGTCTCTGTCACTCCCCCGTCTCGCCCCCGCGCTTCAGGGGGAGAGAGAGAGAGCGAGAGAGAGAGAGAGAGCGAGAGAGAGAGAGAGAGAGAGAGAGAGAGAGAGAGAGAGAGAAGGGGGGGGGGGACTCAGTGGGCCGCGCAGTATTTTTTTCTCTTTTCTGCCCCGCCCCCTTTAACGGGCGATAATTGAGCCGGGGACGATTAGGATCAAGTAAGGTGGTGGGTCGTGCCGCTGAGCCCACCGGGCCGGACCGGACCGGACGGAAACAAGAGTTTAAATTTTACTTTACTATAGGGCGGCCCTTCGAAACGACAATCTCTCTCAAATTAATCTAAAATAGAGGTCTATTATTTGTATGTAATGGTGTGAAAAATTAAAGATTAAAAGCAGATGAAAATTGTCCGACACTTCGAACACAGCAGGAAAAAGAATATTTGTTTGTCGTTAAGAGGAAGTTATAATAAGTTCAAACTGGTGACAAACTCAATCTGTTTGCAGCATTGTAAACCGTCGACGTTTTGTACACTATTCGCTTGGAGTCGCCGCCCGCTGTCGCATGGAGGCCGTCCCGTCGCGCACAGCTGTGTGGCGGGTCTGCCTAACTCGCGGAGCCCAGGCGCTCGGCCGGGCGAGCAGTGGAGCGGAGCGGCGCAAAGACACCAATCCAAAGAAAAGAAAAGTTGAGGACAGAAACATTGTAACCCACAATTAACACTTCCTCACAGCTTATTTTGAGTGTCTATGATTTAACATCGGAGCGTGACCACATGCTGTGTTATAGTATTACGTGATTACTTCTTAAGACGCTAATTTTACTTCTCCGAAATAAAGAACGGGAACGGGACAAAGACATAGATCGTCTGCCCCAATACTTGAAGCCCCTTTACCAAAGCAGGTCAATTAAGTTCCATTTTCGGTCTCTTGTTTAAGTATGCGACATGGAGTTCAAAATTCACTGCCGTTTAGTTCTCGAAGTCTTAGTGATGCCGCCTCTGAGTTCCTGGAAGGGGAGCGCTTGAAACGCGGCGGGAGCCCAGCGAAATCCCTCGTGGAAACGGGCGGCTAGTTTGTTAGCCCGTCGCAGCAAGCCAAGCCGCCGTAACCGCAGCGGGAAATGGTGGGGAAACCAGCGAAAAAGTTGTGGGGTGCAAGGGGAGAGGGGAGGCAAAGGTAGGCCTAGGGGTGGGAGGTGGTGCCTCACTGGGCACAGTACACATGCCGATGAGTGGAGGGCATGGGAGGGAGGG